GCGAGCAGAGCTCTGGGCTTGTGCTGCCTGACCCATTGCAGACAGTGTGGGGCAGGAAAGGCCAACAAATGGGTTGGGAAGGGCTAGTATTGCCCTAAGCCCTGCTCTCAGCCTGCCCTGTTTTGGCAGTGGGGATGGTCTCCTGGCCAAGGCTGAAGTGTTGGTGCTGGTTGTGGAGAAGTGTTGATCCCCAGATCCCTAGGGAGATTCTCATGATGCCAAAGGCACCTCCAGGACAACATTCAGTCCCAGTTCTTTGGGACATGGCACCCAGCTGTCCCCATCACCCAGCTCTCCTCCTGCCAGCACCCCTCGCCCAGCCCGCTCCCCATTCTGTGCCTGGGACTCCCTAGTGCTGGGATAAGTCAGCCCAGTGTAAGATTCCTGTGTCCTGAGTTTCCAGATGGTGTCCAGCTTTTCCTTCCCACAGTCCCAGGATCACAGGTCTCCAGAGGTGGGAACTTCCTTGAAATTCTGTGCAAAGAGGAGAAGGGAGAGACATCCCCCCAGTGCCTGTCTTCTGCTGAACCTCACAGGGGATACTCTGACTGCCCAGGGCAGCTCAGGCACCGGGTGGGGGTCTCCTGATAAGCTCCTGCCTCCTCCCCACCTGTGGAAACCCCCTACTGAGATTCTTGGTATCCACAGCTGAGTGACTGTGAGGCTGGCAAACAAGGGTAGAAAGTCAGAGGTTGAGCCTTAGGGAAGTGCCTTCCCAAGCTGTTTGTTCCCCGCCGGGGGCTGGCAGGAGGCCAGGCCTTTGCTTTGGAGACTAATCCTCTGGCTTCAGAGCTTCCCGGCACTCCTTGGGAGTGAAAAACAGTCGTGACTGCTCAGGGCCTCATGGGTGTGTGGGCATGGGTGGGTGACAAGGACAGGCTCAGGGCCTCATTCCCTGCCTGCACCCTGCTTCCAGCCCAGCCAGGGTACCAGAGGGAATGGTGACACAGCTCTTCCCTTCCTCCTCCCTGGATGCTGGGCACCCACCCTGGCCCATCAGCATCTCCGACTTACACGACCCATCGCTTGGCAAGAGTGCCCCTACACCTCCCACATAGGAATTGGACCTGGGGACGTCCAGGAGTGGCACCAAAAGTTGCGTGGGCCCAAGAGATGTGTGTGCTCCTGCTACCAGCTCTGCACTCCGTGGGGACCAGAAGAAAAATATGAATTGCTCGTCTGAGAAATTAATCTTCTTTCCCTGTCTTAGCTCAGCCTGACCTAGAAGAAACCCCCTGGGTTGTTTTTTTTCCCCCATGGGGTGTTTAAAGGGAAAATTACAGCAAATGTGTTGCAAAGAGGCTGTGGGAGACAGGGGCCAAACCTGCAGGAGGGAAAAGTGGTGTGGGCAAGGTTGGAATGGTTTTAGGCAGGATTTGCCAGGCTGCCCTCTCCTGCAAGACCCTCTGGTCTGGGGTGGGTGGCCAGACAAAATTTAATCTACCCAACACTAGGCAGTAAAAGAGAAACAGTAAAATGTTAAGAGATGTGTTGGGTTCCTCCTGGCATCGTGCAGAGTTGGGGGGACTTCTGGCTGGAGAGAAAAAAGCTCGGCTGCTGGAGAGAGAAAAGGCAATGGAAACAGAGCAGCTGCAGCACTCACTGTCCCCCCTTGATGGCTGTGGTCCTGGGGTGGTGACAGGGGCTGGGGCTGGGTGGAGGGACAGCACTGACTGCCAGGACAGGGACAGGAAGTGAAATATGCCTCTCTCAAGACTTGCTCCTGCCCCACTAAACCTTCTGCTGCCCCATTTCACATCCCTTTCCTCTGCCCCCTTCTTCCCCAGGGATGAAGCCTGGATGGCCCAAATGCCACCCTTGGCTTTGTGGGCACAGGCTGAGTAAGGGAAACCAGCCACCTCAGCACCAAAATGACCCCGATTAAATGCTGAAGCTCATGTCTTTGGGGTTACATACAAGTGTGGAGCTTCATCAGCCTTTAAAGCTCATCAGCTGCCTTGCAAAGGGCTCTTCTCCTGAGCTGAAGGGCCAGAAGCCCCTTCCTTGCTCCCTCCCTGCCTCAGTTTCCCATATGTAAAGACGGGGGGCATTAGAAAGGAAAGAAACCCCCAGCCCTCCCAGCTCCTCTTGCTCTTGAGGACTTTCTTGTGTCTGTGCCATGGAGTTGGTTCCAGCTCCACAAGTTTTGGAGGAGAGAAGGGAGGCCAAGCAGTTGCTCTGGTGCTCATGCATGTGTCTCTGTACGTCTGTCTCCCTCCTCATCAGAGTGCTTAGACTGGGAGGGGATTGCAGCACTTGTGGCCATCCAATGCCTTCTGCAAAGGGGTCTTGATCCAGGGCCAGCCCCAGCTGGAATCTCTGAGCTGGGAGAGAGCTGATGCTGGGAACTGAAGGGGTTCAAGGCATTTTTTGGGCAGCAGCCCCCGTTTTGGAGGCTCAGCCCCGGGTCTCGGGGCAGGAGGGTGCAGGCGGCGTGAGCAGCGAGGATTATGGCTGCTATAAAAAGCACCAGCATCTCTCGCCCCTGCTCCCTAAGGCGCTTAGGGGAGGAAAGAGGGAATTAAAGAGCAACCTCCTGCACTGAGGAGGTGCAGGGACTGGAGCAGACGGACAGCCTGGCACATTCATCAGACCCCCTCCTCCCTCAGCATCCCCCAAAACCTCCCCTGGACAAAGCAGCCCCCAGCACGTTTTCCCATGGACCTTCTCCCTGGGCCCTTGCTGTTGGATGACCAGACTTTCATACCCTCTTGGAGATTGTGGGGGACAAGAAGATGGCTGAGGGGGACAGCCCAGCCTGGAGAGGGGGTCCTGCTGGGCAAGAAGAGCAGATCAGGGTGCTGTACCATTTGCACTGGCCCCCAGTGAAAAACATGGAGCTCTCCCTTCCCCGTCCTCACAGTTTCACTCATCTGCCTGGTCCTGTCCTGCCACCCTGCTTCAGAGGTCCTCTGAGGGTACTAGAGATGCCCTCCAAAATGCAGCCAGCTGCATGGGTGGATGGCTGGAGAGAAAAACACTGAATTCTTGGAGGGACAGGGGTTGCTTTCAGCCAAAAGCCACACTCTGCCTCCAGTGTCCAGAGGCGAAATGGCTCCACAGCGCTGGGACTCTCTGACAGGCTCACAGTCATCCTCAGAGCTCAGCACTAGTGCTGTGTCTGGTGACATGTCTGGGGACCAGGCAGGGGAAAGGCAGGTGCCAGATGATCGTGATGATGGCAAAGATGCAGGGAGGGGGGATGTGAAGGAAGGTGGTGTGGAAACTGCTGTCAGTTTTCCCCTGGCATGTGCAGGTTCCAGTGGGGTCAGTTACAAAAGCAGCTACAGCCATGGGATCATGTGGAGCTCTGGTGCCAGCCTGGTTCCTGGCATTGACCAGGTGTGACCCCTTGGCTCAGGGAGATGGTTGGTGGTTCCCCTTGCCATGCATGCTGCTGTAACATTACCCAGGACTCGGTTGGTCTGGGAAATGGACACAATATCAGGATCCCTCCTCGCATCCCTGCAAAAGAGGGGCTTCAAAAGACAGGTGCTGGCTCCAAGAGGCTGAGGGGAGTGGGATGAGGGTACTTCCTCATCAGCCCCTTCCCAGAATTGAGCAGTCTGGTGGACCCCGGTGCAGGTGGCCACAGGAGGGAGCTTGGCTCCTTCCTTCTGCTCCTGCTCAGAGAACGGTGGCCTTGGGTGGGTGTCAGCCAGGCTGGCCCTGGGTGCGGGTTGCTGGTTGGTGCAGGAGCATCTCCTCAGGGTCAAACCGTGTCACATGGGACCCGAGGTGTCACAGGAAGGGAGCAAGAGCCTGGCTGGAGTGAAGGTGGCTGCCTCCATCCTCAGGGAAGCCTCCACCTTATTTCCAGCAGTTGATGTGTCCACAGTGCAGATAAGTCACTGGGGCTGTTTCCTGCAGCCAGGAGGGGGGACCTGTTGTGCCCGGTGAGTGGCATGTCCCCTTGGCAGGGACCAGTGCCTCCGAGAGCAGTGCCAGTGTGAGACACATGGTCTCGCTGTCCCTCCCGAGCAGTGCCAGAGGCACCCGGATAACCCTGATCTCCAGCCCCCAGATGCTGAAAGGGCAGGGGAACAAGAAAACCAGCCCCTCCCCATACAACCTCCTGTCCCCCAGAAATCTGGACCTTCCCAGTTTCCCCTGCCCACAGCCAGCTTTGGTGCTGAAGCTCCACTCCCAAGGGCCGACAGTTATGGGATCACCCCGCCAGCATCCTCACGTGCTGCTGGGGCATCTCTGCCTGGCTCCCCTTCACAGCCCCATAGGAGATGGCTGGCGGGTGCCAGAGCAGCCACACTATAAACCCAGGGCCAAAATAATGGAGGAAAATGGTGGTGGCAGCAACACTGTGTCTGATTGGAAATGGTTAATTACTGGGGGGAGGTTTGTGGTAATATCCTGCAAAGCCGACAAAGCCCCAGCGTGGGACTGCTGGTAATGGCTCTCATTAAAGCCATTGGAGCAGGAGGTTGAAACCGCATCCATTTTCCTCAACCACTTTCAGAAGGGGAAAATAGCTGTTCTAGCCCCTGCTATTCATGGTGTGCCTGGAAAGGCAGGGCTTGCCTCTCTGAGTACAGAGGCAGAAGTCTGGACTATTGCTTTTTCTCAGGGTCAGGTCTGCGGGCCATCAGTATAACCTTTTTTTTAAGTTCAGGAAAGATGTGGAGAGCAAAGGGATCTTCATCAGGAAGAGGCACTAGGACCAAGGAATGATGCACCTGCTGTGCAAATAGGCTGTGAGCTGGAGCTGCAAAACTAAGGAGAGGAGTGATGACCCAGGCAGGTCACCAAACTACAGGTCTGGATTTGGCCCCTACTGACCTTTCTGTGTCTTTCTGCAGTCCCCAGCTCCCTGCTGTGTCCTGGACCTGTCCCCAGAAACACAGATACCCCCATTTCTCTGTCGCCTCCTTGTCTCCTTTGCCCTTTTCACCACCCCATTCCCATGCCGCTGGACAGCCACATGCCAAAGGACCGCCCGGCTTCTCTCCAGCTCATTTCTCTTGCAAGCTTTGCTTGGTGGGTGTATTTTGCATTTGCTTTTTCTTTTTTGCTATTCACAGGGAACAAAGAAGGGGTCACAAACCCACGGGCAGATGTCAGGACAGGGCTGACAAGCCTGGGAGAAGGGGCAATGCCACCCACCCCAGCAAGGTCCTTAGAGGCAAAGCCAGCGGGAGAAGGGCTTTGCTCCGCAGTGCCGGCTCTGCTCATCCCTTCCTCTCAGTGCCCGGTCCTGCAAGGTGGCTGCTGCAGTGTTCCACTGCTCCATCCCTCCGCTCCATCCCTCTGCTCCATTCCTGCTCTCCATCCTGCTGCTCCATCCCGCTGCTCCATCCCGCCTGGCCCGGACGTCGCGCCGGTCACGTCTGCTGTGGCAGGTGGCAAGTCTCGCCGATGGCAATGACCACGTCCTGGGGCTGCCGGTCCCGGTGCCGCGGCGCCTCGGGCATCTCGCTCATCTCGTTGACGCTGTTGCTGATGCAGTTGATGTCGCTCTTGTTGCTGTTGTCGTCCGGGTTGGGGCCAAAGATCCAGTCTGGAGGAGGGAAAAGCACAAAACAAGCCCCTGATTACCTCTGGCTGTTCCCACATCCCAAGCTGGCTGGAAAATTGCTGCCTCCTGCTACATCCTACCTCTCACCCTGGGTTCTCGCCCTCCCAGGAGGGTCCCTTGCCCACCACGGCCCTTTCAGCCCCTTCTGCTCCTGTGGAGTTGCAGTCTCTGCTCTTCCAAGCTCTGGGCAGGTTTTCAGGCTGCTGGTTTCTGGAAACCCTCCCAGCTTAGGCAAATGAAATCACTCTGCTAATCCCAAAAATGGGAATGACATGCCTGTGAAGTGAAGTGTGCATCTGGGCTCTCCAGCAATGTATTTCCTACAGTGCGTTTTTGCTATCAGAAACAGAGGGGACAATTAAATAACTATGTGACATCCAAATTGGGCCGGAGGCATGGCTAGGGACATGGCTTTTCTGCCTTGAGAGTGTATCACAGCCACACCAGGGCTTCAAACCCTCCATGGCAGCTTTGGGGCTGTGCTTCTTGCTGGTCACCAGAGCACCAGGGCGTGGCTCTGAGCTGATCCAGCCACTCTCACAACCCTGAGGGTGACTGTCCAAAACACAGTGTCACTGCTGGATGGTGGCATAACCAAGACACCTCCTGCAGCACAAGGGGCTGCAGCTCAGTGGAGGCAGGTGGTGCTCCTTCCCAAACAGCTATTTTTTAAAAAACTTGGCTGTTTGGGCAGTGAAAGGCCATGCCCAGCCACGATGGGAAGGCAGCAACAACGAGGAAACCAAAGCTGGGGAAATCCAGGCGAGGCGAGAAGAACCCTAGAACCTGGTGGTGGTGGGCAGTGGAGCATCAACATCCCCCTGGTTTAGTCCTGCTCCCAAAATAAAGCAGAGATAGCTGCCAGGAGGCAGTCAAAAGGGCCAGCCTGGTTTAGCTTTTTCTGAGGGACTCCACTTATTTGCCAATGGATTGCTCTCAAGAAATAGCATTTCTCTCCTTTGTGGCATGGGGTATTTTCTGTCCCCACAGGGCATTTCAACTGCAGCTTTTTGGTGGAGGATGTGGGCTGCCTGGTGGAGCAGGGACAGAGAAATACATTCCCAGTGAGACGTTGCCTTTCTCATGGGCTGCAGAAAAAAGTTTTGCAGCAAAATTGAGGCTGAATGATGGCAAATGCCATCAAGTGTGAAGGGAATGAAAGATCTAATTTCTCAGCTCACCAGTGGTGTTCAGACATTTCTGCAGGTGTGAGAAGAGAGACGAGAATGACCTGTGGTTCTTTCTGCACTTGGTGTGTGCACTGTAGGTCAAATTTGCTGGCTCCAAGGAGGATAATGCTCCCACCACACTGGGCACATGCAACATGTCCAGAGAGTGACTATTTTTTCTTGGTTTTCCTTTTTTTCTTTACTTCCATAACTGCGCTAGCAGGGTCTGCTGGTTGAGTGACAGGAATGACAGGAGAAGAACCACCACAGTTCCCTCAGCTACCACAGTGCTGGCAAGAGTAATTGGGAATCTCAGCAAAGATGTGGTCCAAAGGTTTTTGGGGAGTCCTGGGTCTGCCCCAAGTCCCAACCAGGGCATTTAGCTTTCACTTGCATGATCCACAGCCCCAGCCAGAGCCTGGGCTCCCCGTTACAACACTTCCCCAAGGAAATCACCCAAGCCCAAAAGGCTCATTTAGGTATTTTTTCCTTTGTAGCTTCGATTTTGCTTGGCTTTACTGGATTTAGACTAAAGCCAAACACTCCACCATCTTCTTCCTGGTCTGGCCCTGCAGCCTGGGCTGGGTTCAGACCAGACAGAGCCCCAGCCTCTTGCCCCCAAGACCTTCCAGGCTCCTCCAGCCCCCGCACAGACGCTTGCTGTGAGGAGAATCCAAAGGAAGTAACAAGATTGCCTCCTACAGATACTATTAAAGGTCTCGGCTTGCTTTCCTTGATGTCAGCTGTAAAACTGCAGTGGGAGAAGGGGCTGGTCCAGCAAGGAAGAAGGGGAATAACCTGTAGGAAAAGGGGCTATGGGTCCCCAAATATCCTGGGAGCCACTGGATGAGGATTGCTGTGAGCAATAGGAAGCAAAGAGCTCAGCATTGGATGCCTGTGAGTGAGGGGGAGTGGCACTTGGTGGCCAAATGACGAAACCTTGGGGACATTTGCAGGCAGCAGAAGAAGCTGGAGCTCGATGCAGAACTGTGATAAAGGCAGAAATGCAGGGGATGGGTGTTTTGGAAGAGCACCAAGGGGACCAGCAAAAGCCATTTCTATGGGAAAAGGGTCACAATGCACCGTCACCAAAGGGAATGTGGCTGACCAGGGTGCCTGGGGAAGGTGGCTTGTGTGAGGCTGCCACAGTCTAATTCCTGGGTAAGAGCAGGCTGGATTGTACGCGCTAATCCGAACCACTGCTTCCCTGGGAATTATTTCTGGAGCCTGCTGGATCTAATTACCCAGTAATCTGCAGGAAGATGTAATTAGGCTGTCATTAGAGGGTATTTACTGCGATGCCTTTATGATTTGACTGTGTAAGTAAGGAGTGAAGTAATTACACAATTACACGTTATTTGTGGCCATTTATGGCCTGTAACTTCAGCGTGTTGCCATGTGTGGAAGAGGGGAGCGAGGCCCCGTGGAGCTGGCAGAGAATCTCCTGCCAGCAGGACCCTGGACAAACAACCATAAAAATGTCAGCACCCTCATCTCCCCTGCCAGCCACTGCTGGATTTGTCCCAGCCACGCACGCTCCTCCCCAGTTTCACCCTGTGGCTCCTCTCAGTTTGTGGGTGAGAAACCAAGGTCTCACAGGTTCCCCTGTGGGATGTCTGGGGAGGAGTGACGGAGAAGAGAGAGGAGACCTGCACATCTCTGGCATCAATGGGATTAAACCTTGCTCTGACGCAGAAGGGCCTTTGCAGGGGATGGGATGTCACGTCATGCACAAGCACATGATGTAAACCTCGGGCTGGGAGCCAAGGCATGGTGGTGACAGCTGAAGGTAGCTGTAGCCCTTAGCATCATGTCAGGTATTTCTCTCTCTATCTCTTGCATGTGGCGGGGGGGCTGAATAAGCAACAAAAAATAGACACAATTGCCACTGAGAGGAAAACAAAATCCTCTTTTGGATCAAAGTCCACATATGTGTTCACGCAATCTCCAGCAAGAAGGCAAGCAAAATCAGGCTAAGCCAGGACACCCAATGGTTCTGGGACACCCAAGGGTAGAGCTGGAGTGAGCAGGGACCACACAGTGCCCACTCCTGGGGCAGAGGCACCTCTGGACCCAGGACAGTTGCTCTCTGGAGATAAGAAAAAGCATTTAAGCATTTCCTGCCCCTACCCAGCCACTGGAAGGAGCTCATAATACGTGCTGCAAAATCCAGGGCGTGCATGTGGGCATGTCTGTGAATGTCTTGGATAAAAGAAAGGGACAAAGTGACTTTCTCAGCCAGGCTGGGGGAGCAGCATCTGACCGAGAGACGCCTCTCCTTGCTCCTCAGGAGCTGCCAAGGCTCAGTGTGCCTGCTGAGGTCTGCAGGGCGAATGGAGAGGTGGGAAGTGCTGAGGTGGGGTGAGATCGATACTGAGCGATTGATCCAAAGCAGCTGGAGAGACAAGATAGAGCAGATTGGGCAAATCAGGAGTTGTGGTATAGCAACTCTATTATTATTATCCCTAAGTAGCAGAGTAATGTGGCACAAAGCTCCCCTACACTTCCCTGGCTCTGTCAGAGCCTTTGACAGCACCCCTGGAAGCAGTCCCTTGAGATGTGCCGTATTTTGGGGGGCAGAAAAACACTGGGGTTGCCCAGATGTCACAGTGTGCCCTCCTTGTACCAGCAGCATGAAGGATGGTCCTCACTTGGAAAACCCTTACAATGCAAGCAGCAGGGAGCAGCTTCCTGCTGTTTGTGTGCAGAGGAGCACAGGGATGCTGTACCCCCAGTCTCATCCCAGTAGGGGTGTCCAGGTCCCCTGCATTCATTGGTGACAGGGTGGGATGTCCACGAGGCACTTCAGCCACTGAAAAAGAGACATCCCCAGCAGAAGAGCAGAGGCAGGTGGGAGAAAGGGCTAAAATTTAAATGGTGAGGGAGACATTCACAGTCCCTGCAGAGATGGAAACAAGGAAAGGAAGGGGTAGCATGTTCAATGAACAATCAAATTCGTGCTCTAATTTTGCTTTAAATGGAGCTGGGTGTGAAAGCAGCTGCTAAAAAAGCCCTTTTCCCAGCAGCAGGAGCAGAAGCTCCTTTTTGTTTGACACAAGTCCTGACCCAGCAATCACACTGTGCTCTGCAGCAAGGCTGGACCAGCTCTGGCCAAAGTGTTCCCGATGGACAGGAGTTCAAGGGTATCCCTCATGAGTTTGACAGGATGCAGCATTCACAGCTGGACATCGTACCCATAAACAGCAGCTCAGGAACCCCTGATATACCCTCATGCACCAGAAGGGAAACTGAGGTGGGGTGTTAGTGTCAGAGGTGGGTTAGCACTGAGATATGATGTGGTATCTTCTTTTCCCACAACTTTGGGAAGCAAAGGAATCATCCTCAAAATAGAGCCTGAAAAGAAGACATGTAAGTCCTCTCTGATGGGTCTAAGATGCTGTCTGCAATCCCTGCCGTAGGCTGAATTATCCTAAGAGCCCTGCAGTTCTGTGTGGAGCAATTAAAAGTGGATCCCAAGTCCCTGCAGGATCACCCAGCAGCTATTTTCAGCAATGTTACATTCATGCACAGTTTCTTTGTTCAAGGAGACCGTTTCCTAAAGAAGCCTGAAATGTGGCAGTTAGAGATAAGGATGAAAAATAAAAATACAGCCGGTGGGTCAAAAGGGCAAAGAAAAGAAAGACCCCGCTCCGAGAATGGCGCAGGGTTTTGAGCAGTCTCACAGCATTGACCAGCACAGTCCCACCGGTGTCGGTGAACCCGCCCTGCTTTGCCCCAGCTGGACATCTGCCTTGGGCCCATTCCCAAAGGAAAAGTTTCCTCCAAGGTCTCCTCTGGAGATCAGCAACTCAGAGGAGACCTCGGCTGTCGCCTCGGGTGACACCAGCGAAGGTCTCCCTGTGAAGCATCGCTCCCACGCAGACCATCAGACCCTTCCCGTGTGGTTCCCATGCAGGAGCGAGATGCTTTCCCCTTTCCTGGGGACCACAAGCGTGCAGTCTCCATAGCAACAGCTTTGTTTCTAGTCAAACTTTTTATTTTTTACCCCTTTTTCCTCCTATTTTATGTTTAAATAAGGGTGCTATTCAGTGAACTGCTGGGGACGGAGGAGGGAGGGCGGGCTGATTCCCAAGGATTGCAGTAATTAGGCGCTTCGTACGTTGGTGACAGGCTTGTCATTTGCCAAGCCGGCTCTTCGCCGCAGCGCCGGCTCTGGCAGCTCTCCAGCGCTTCTGAGTTAAGCAGCTTTCCAAATGCTTCGACCCAATTTGCCTTTAACTGGTGGTTGGGTCTGAGCTGCACTCACGCAGGAGCCCTTCTACCTCATCAGGGGGATCACATCCATCCCCAAGCAGAGACATCTGATGAGTTTTGGGAGAGTGTCAAACATGAGACTTCGTCAGCTCAGAGGAGGTGGAGAGGGATCAGAGAGAAATTAAAGTATTTTGGGCTATCCTTGGTCAGGTCTCTCCAGGAAGAGCTGAAGAGGGTCTCTTTCAGAGCCCTCTTATCCATATCCAGGTGCTCTGCCTTCCTCCTCTCTGACAATGCATCTTTCCCCCTCCTCTGATGCAGTCTCCCATTTTCCACTCCTCCCCACCCTCCTGGACATCGCAGCACTGTTCATCTCCCCCCGGGGATGCCTGGGCAAGCTCTAATTGATTTTTTAAGAAGCATCTGCAAGAGATGTGTCAGTGTCTCTAATACTTGTTCGGATTTCACAGGGGAAGAGCTTGGCAGCATCCTGAGAACCCCTTTGCCATCCCAAACCAGGCCCAGTGCCTGCTTCTCACAGTCCCTGTGAGTGCACTGGGCTGGGTGATGCTTTGACTTCCCAAGCCATGTCTGACAAGCTGTTATTGAGGAGTCAAAATCATCCTTGATGCTTCCAAGTGACTCTTTAAAGTAGCGATTAACTATTCACACTTTAATCTCCCTGAAACAGGCTCCAGCCCTTTGGCATCTTATTTCCATCTCTCTCTGTATCCTTCTAAATATGGTTAGTGCAGAAACACTGATAGCAGAGGTTGGAGCTGCTGCCGAGTATATAAATCCAGGCATTGTGTTAAAGGCAGTTAATAGGCCAGCTTCTTATTTACTATCCCTTGGTCCCTCTGTCCTGTCCCTAAAGTAATTTTATGCAAACTCATTCAAATGAAACCTTCTCTTTAAAGGCTGTTCCTTGGCAGTGTTAACAAACACAGGCTCGTCCGCTCTCCTCCGAGGACTGGCTCATTTTAAGCGTATCAGCTGTGGGAAGACAGGCCCGGAGTGCTAACTAGGATGAGCTGGAGGCAGCCTTCGGCACTGAGGGGTGCTGCTGGAGTTCTGGAAACGCCTTTTCCTCTCTGCCTGGATGGGGAAGAAGCTCACCTCTGGATTTCTGACCCTAACTTGGAGAGGTGTTACCTCCACCCTGGGCAGGGAGAGAATGCTCTGCCCTCAGTGAGGGCGCTGAACTGGGAAAGGGTTTCTTCTGAGGTGGCGGGGAGCGGGCAGACCCCGGGGCTGTCCCTGTGCCTGCCCAGCCCTGCGATGGCCGTGGTGCTGTGAAAGGCTGTGGAAGTCCCTTTGCAAAAGGCTTTGTGAGGAAGGGGCACCCCGCTGACCTCATCCCACACAGAGGCTGAAGCTAAAGGTCACCAGGGAGCATTGCTGCTGAGTTGGAAATAGCACAGTCAGGGGCACGGGTGTCCCAGACCGTGGCTGCAGCCTCCCTCAGTGCCCATAGGGGCATGGCATTTGTACCAATTTTGGCCCTACTTTGCAGTATCCAACCAAGGGGCGGGTTTGAGCACTCACATCTGTGCTCTCCTGCATCAAGGACCCCAGCAGTTGGGGCAGGGGTGCCTGCCCTGCGGGGGCACTGCGGCTGGACCAGCCCCCACTTCGGGGCAGTTTCTGACCTGGCCTGACCTGGTCCTTTGAGCACCTTGGGGCAGCAGCATGTGTATTTTTAGGTGCTGTCCCCACTGCCTATCTTTGTTGGGAAGGCAACTCTAAATCAGATGAGTGGCAGAGCTGGGTGATGTTACAGCCCCAGAAAGCTGCTGATTAAGTGTTAAATTTAACACTTAAGACAATTTATCCGTTCCCTTCCATCTGGGGCGAAGAAAGACTCCTCAGCAGCTGCTCCCTGCCGTTTTCCTGTCTGAGCTTCATGTGAGATCCCAAGTACTGTACCCTGCCAGGAGGTTTGACCTTTCTTGTCCCAAATACCCCCTCCCTAAACCCCTGTGTCCTGGATCTGCCAGCCCCTGCCTGGTCATTACCCTCTCCCCAAGGGACTTGGCTTGCCCTCCCATCAGCAAGCCGTGGGTGCCGCACGCCCCACAGGCACCGATGGAGTTTTGGCTGGTGTGTGTCTCCCACGTCCCAGGAGCAGGGAAATAAAGGGATTCGAGGATGAACATGTGGATTTTGTTCCAGATGAGCGTGAACTCCCACTGCAGAGATGGAGCCTGCAGGGCTTCGTCCATGGCTCAGAGCAAGGGTGTGCAAAGGGATTTCAGCTCTGCTCCCCTGAGGAGGACATTGCTCCCCACAGCTTTTGCAGGGTATGCACTTCTGCGAGCCAGGAGCTTAAACCCCTCTCGGTACCCCTCCTGGCCCCCCATACAAGCTGGAAAGCTGTCACCAGCACCCTGCAGCAAGGCCCTGAGCCCCAAAAGGACATGGTGAGCTGGCTGTTGGGGCCAAAAATACTGAGGATTAAGAAGGGAATCAGACACATTTGCACTCCCCAGCATGACCAGCCTTACAAATTACAGGGCAAAATCACTGAGGGCTTGCCATAAGCAGCGAAGCACCTCTGTCTGTACCTCTGCCTACACCACAGCCTGACCACAGCAGCCAGCAGAGTGTTTGCACTCCTGTCCCCGACAGTGAGGGGACATCAGCAACAGGATGAAACCAAAGAGCCAGGAAGCCAAACCTTACAAAAACGCACACTCTTTGAGCTATCTTTTCATAGATTTGTTGCAGAGGCTGTGAAGGCTATGCTAGGGGCTGTACAAGGGAGCCAGACTGCTGAGCTGTGTTTCCTAGGAGTTTGTGGATTCACTGGTGTCTAATAAGGGGTTAAGCTCATATGGCAGCTTTTCTTTCATAATGCACTAGTGGGTTGTTATCCTGTGTTCAGCTATTTGTTGCCATGAAACTTTTCATGTTGGAGACCTCTAATCCAAGCTTAGTTGAAACTGGCCAAAGGATTTTACAGTCATTTGGCAACACAGACTCACGCACATACACATTTATACACACGCACGCACGCACAGGCTTTGTTTCTTTAGGAAGGGGGCTAAACCCAAGGATTTTCTCTAGGAAGGTGGTCAACGTACACCTCAATTTGGAGAACTCAGAACATTAAATCAACTGTCTTCCAAATGTGAAAGGGTCAAGGATTGGTCTAAACCCCATCCAAATCAAAGTGGAGATGCGAGCCAGCACTTCCAGGCTTTGCACCAGGCTTTTTTTGGCCACATGCACACAACGTGTGAAGCCTGCACTCACCTACAAAGTCGTAAATGAGGTCTTTGATGAGATGCCCGACGATGGCGTACGCCACTGCCACCACCACCAGGGCTGCCATGAGAAGGTAGAGGACAGCCTTGGGCAGAGGAATGGCATCTCGAGGAGGGGGTTTGTACTCCTTGTAGAGCTGGTCATTGTCCGAGTATGAGTATTGGAACAAGTGGTCCAGGCCAGCTGTGAAGTTGCTGGAGTTCATGGACTGGCTATTGGACAGGTAGTTGTCCTGCTCAGGGTCCTGGAGGACACTTACCACCGAGCTGGTGGTGGCTTCCACTTGCTGTACCAAGTTCAGAGTCTTGTTAACACTGGGGAGGATCTGGGAGAGGAAAGTGCTCCAATCTTTGATGGCACTGATGTTGCAAATAATCATAATTGCAACGAGGAAAGAGATCTCCAAGCTCAAGAGACTTAAAAAGGAGAGAAAGAGGCGAGAATTGCTGTACTTACACCAAACCATGTACTGCAAACCGGGCAGAGAAGGTCTTGACGGGGTAGGTTTTTAATTTGAGAATTCTTACATGATCCGGTAGGGATGCATCTGTGGTACCTCAGTCTCACTCCTGGAAATGCCCATAGAGAACCCCTATGGGCATGAAGTTCCTTAGGAAAAAGTAGATGTTGGAATGGTTTTGCCTGATATCATTTTTGTTCCTCAGCCGTCTCTCCCTGATGCTACTCACTGATGAAAACCAGAGAGACAGGATCCTGTGGGTGTTTTCAGTCATCTGGAAAAGAAAGATAAATTGCCTTTCTCCAGCTTTTTTTTTTTTTTTTTTTTTTTTACAGGCGATGGTCCTTGGAGAGACAGAAATCCCCCCTTTGCTGCTCCCCAGGCTCGGTCAGGCGCAAGGTGTGCGATGCCGCGCTGTGACTCTCCCGAAGCGTTCGCAGAACAGAAGCAGAGATTCAAACCCCACAAAGTTCAGCTGCTCCCGGCGTGTGATGGAGCCGGCGGCGCGCAGCTCCCGGCCCTTCCGGCCCGGCTTTCACCAACTTCTTTTGCCGGCATCTCCCGATCGATTCCTTTAAAAACAAAACCCATAATCAGAGACCACGGCCACGCCAGCAATGAGCCCAGCACACGGTCCGCGGAGGGCAGCCCAGCCCAGAAGCTGCCGCTCTCGGGTTTTATTTACCTAAAGACTTTTCCAAGCGAATAGATCCCCTCGCCTGATGCTCCAGCTTGTTTTATTCAGTGCTCGGAGCTCCCCGCACACAGCCCCCGATGCGGTGCCGCTGCCCGCCGTCTGCGGGGAGTGCGGGCACGCCTGCGTGTGTGTGTGTGTGTGTGTGTGTGTGTGTGTGTGTGTGTGTGAGTGCACACTCCTCCCCGTCCTCTTCCCCTCCTGTCCCTTCGCCCTGCAGCCCGGCTCGCTCTCCCCAGCCGCCCCGGCTCCAGCAGGGAGGGGGATTAGCTGTCGAGAGGTTGGCTCCACAACTCCGAAGTGCGCCGTGCAGCAGGCGATGCGCGGCGGGAGCGTAGGCTCAGCCTCCGCCGCTGCTCCCCGGGGAGTTAATCCTTTCGATGGCAAAAAGACGAGCTTTGATCCGTCTGCTGGATCTTCTCGGAGAGGTGGAGGGCAGGGCGGGGAGCAGCCGGAGCTTGCGTGCGGGGGCGCGGGGGTACCCGCAGGTGCAGCCCGCCCGCGCTGAGCACAGCCTTTGTCTGGGAGCTGTGCCGCCGGCAGGGAGAAATCAAATCGCGGGCGCTGCCGGGAGGAGGGAGGACATCATCAATCCCACCGCCAGCATCCCAGAAGAGTGGTGCTCCCCACAGCCCTGCTTCCCCTCCTGCAGCCTCCACCCAGCAAAGTTTTGGCATCAGAGGGATGCCTGGTTTGCAGAAAGGCCGGAGGGTTTGGCGCTGGGCTCCCTCACCCTCTCCCCTCCCAGGTTAGCTGTCTGTGTCAACTGGTAAGAGCCAGCCCGTCCTTGGTCACCTTGATAATGGTCTTAAACTAGTTCAGGTTCCCTACAAACACATCTCCTCATCTGCATTGGCATGGGATTTCAGTGGGGTTCTGGCTTGGTTTGAAGGCACTGGGACTTAATTAAAGAGGAGGAAGAGGACATCTTAGAGAGGGGGAAATTGCCTTTCTATATTCAGAGGTGAAAATAAATCACAGCTCCATTTTTCACTTCTGCCTTTTTTTTTTTTTTTTTTTCCGTGCTGCTTCCCCATGTAAGAAACAGCTGTCATGAGGGCAAGGAGATCACCACATTAGGCCTGAATGCAGCCAAATGGAGCTTCTGAGAAATAATAGCAAAAGATTAACTTTTCGTGTGTGTCTGTGTGTGTTACCAGCCAGCAGCAATCCTGCCAGCTGCCTGGGGGTTGGAAGAGTATAGAATAAAATGGCAACGTCTCTCCCATACGATAAAATCACCAGGGCTTAGGTTTGTGATGGACAGATTGTACAGCCCAGGAGCAAAGAAGATGTGGAGGGAAAAGCTTCTCTGCTCTCCGTGGAGTGTGTGTGGGCCATGTCACAGTGACTTCTGGCTCCCAGGACCATTTAACAGCATCTTAAAATTTCTTCTCACAAGTAACTGAGCTGTGACTGGTTACAGAAAGACATCTGGACAGCTGCATGGATACATATCCTGCAATGGGACATGTCCTGATGCCCCCCTGCCCCACTATCATGGTTGAAGGGGCCCCTCTGCCTCCAGACCATGAAGCAATGGGGATGTTTTGAGGGCCAGGGCAGGAGTCAGGAGCTAAGGGCAAATGGCTCCTCTCTCAGACTCTGAGTCCTCTCACCAGATTTTATCCTTCCAAGAGGGAAAACATGGCAAGATTATTTTTTATAAAAACTTTTCAATGCAAACTGAGTTCTGGGATCTATGCAGGGATAACTCAGTGCAGGCTGGCTTTGCCCTGCTCCAGAGGTGCATCCTTTGGCTGGGGTTCCCAGGAGGAGAGGACAACCCCTGGGACATGCCCACTGGTCCTTGGGGACCGAAGCTGCTCTGAAACTGTAATTTCACAGTGGTTGTTTGGTGTTAGCAGTTGCCATGGCACCAGTGCATCAACCAGAGGGAAGAGGAGAGAATCTGGTCCAGGCTGAGCCATCCCTGTGCCTGGCTCTGGGATGCGACAATCCTAGGCAGGATCCCACCAGGCTGTGCCTTTTTATTCCCAGGAGGGGATGGAGCCGAGTGATTTGGGGCAAAAGATTTGTAAAGCTGTTTGTGCATGGGGAGATTAATCAGGGAAACTGGGGGCAAAAGTGGCAGCTGTCTGCATGCCTGGGGACAGCTGGTGGCATCAGCCCACACCTCGCTCCAGTGGGACACAGGGCAGATCCCCTTGGTTTCCTACACCTCCACTGAGCACTTCTGGGAAAAGGCTGGAAAAGCACTTGGGGAAGCTCAGAGTTCTGCTGCAGGCACTGACTTCATTAAAGGGGCTGAGGGCAATACCACAGAAATACCCCTCCACCTTTTGTGTTTCCCTGGAGCGGAAGGAAAGTTGGCTCCTTTCATTTTCATTAACACCCTCATCAATTCAAAGTGACTAAATAGATGCTTAACTGTTCATTATACACTCTCTGCATCTCAGGTCTGAAAGGGAGGCTTTATTTCCACAATTATGGTTCCCATCCCATTACAGAGGGAGAGAGCACAAAGAAATATAGAAGTGTGGATTTTAATAACCTTATATTTCAAACTCTCTGTTATTAAAAAAAATGTTTGCATTTACTGTGATGGGGGGAAGATTAAAAGGATTGCCATGGATTCCACTTAGGGAACATTGCTAATGATTTCAATAAATCACTTTAAATAAAAATCACAATCTCCACAATTCCACCCAAATGCCATTTGGCAGAGGGGTTGATTATAGGAGCAAAATGAATTTTAGAATTAGCTGCTTGTCCTAATGCAATTGGACAAATTAAATTTAGGGATACATACATATCCAATGAAACACATATCTCATGAAGAAGAGCGGTGGTTTGGCCTCTGGGAAAAAGAACAAATAATTTTTTAGTGGGTCAAGAAAGATCTTGTCCCTCATGATGGATGTCGAGGGTTTGTTTCAGCTATTTCCTTGGTATTTTTATTTTATGGCTTATTCCCTATGTAACTACAGTCAAAGCACTGGTGTTTTATTTCCACCAAGGCAGGATCCAACTGACTACTGGGACTTGTCTTTGATAATGCTGGTGTCCATGCAGAGCTGAAAAACTGCCCTGACACGTTGCTAGCAATGCCCAGAGCAGACAGTCTTGATTCCTGTCTGTGTCTGGGACCGTATCCCAGGGTCTCTACACGAGGTGAAGCCCAGGTGCTACACCAGGCCTGGAGATCTGACTCTGTTCCCAGCTCCACTGCTGGCTGCTTGTCCTCCTTGGCAGTACATAAGGGACATGGAGACAACAGGCTGTGGATGTGGCAACAACTGTCAGGTGCAAATAGAGCTGCAGGGGTGGAGACCAGCGTAGGAGTTTATCCCTGTGCAGTGGGCTGTGGCTTAGGAAGGCTTTGTGTCTCGCCCTGGCCAAGAGCTATTCAGAAGCTGGCAGAAAATGTCGTCAGGAGGTGCAGCTCCAGCAGCAATATCTCCATCTGCACTTTTGAGCAAGACATTTGTTTGCCCAAGGGTAATTTTTACAGCCTTGAGGTGTTTTTTTGTGTCTGTCTTCTGTGCTGGCTGCCGACACCAAACCCTGACCCCCACCAGAGAAACCACCACACACCGTCAGCAGAATAAGCACAAAGATCTACACCCTCACAGGGCACAAGGTAAAACGGTCTTCACAGGACTTCTTCAAACCATGCAAATTTTAACTATGCAGAGTGACATCCACGTTCCTATCCAGATGCGAGCTCATGGGGGCTGCACAGTTCCTGTCCCAGTTTCTGCAGCCTTCCCACGGATGAGGCATGCTGACCTTCACTCATCCCTGTGTGGGCCAGATGCTCTTCCCTGCCTCCCTGCCTGGCTGTGCTCAGCTTCTGCACTACACCCTGCAACAGCGACTTCATTTCCAAGCAAATTCCATGTACCAAAGCTGTGACAGCAACCTCCCTGCATGACAAGAAGTTGTGAAATATAGGCTTATCCTATATTCCCATTCCTGGCATTCCTCTGGCCCAGCGATTTCTACTTGAACAAAACAAACAAACAAGGAACAGCAGCAATTTTTAGCAGATGAATCAGAGTGAGCTATCTTTATCTATCTATATATAAAAACACCTTTTTAAAAGTGGTTTTTTTTTGGATGCTGTATTATTCATGCTCCCAAAGCTGAAGAAGTCCAGATTATAATAATAATAGACATAATAAATATGCCACATTAAGTGCAGTGCCTGGGAAGAGTGTTCCCTATCTGCTGCCTCTGGTAAGCAAAGTGGGGTTTTAACTCTGCGTGTGGCACCATCTCATGGACAGCTTGGCTTGTTCAAAGGACTTTAGAGGCTGAAGGCAGGCACAAAATTATCCAGCATGAAAAGCCTGCTTCCTGAAAGAAAGGGGAACATTTCCCAAATAAACAAATCCAGGGCAACAGGAGTAATTGCAGTGGAGCTGAGGAGCTGAGGTGGGAAGAGTGAATTACATGTTTTGTTTGCATCTCTAGAAAATGCTTTGGCAAAAAAAGCATTTGTAGGGCTTATTTGTGGTTAAATCTGACATATATGGGCAAAGCAGAACAGGAAGGCTTCATCCCAACAGGTAGGAAAGTACTGTTTTTACATGTCTTATTTTAATCACAGCTTTACTATCCTGAAACCCAGTGAGAAAGTGAGCCAGGCTGTGTGCATCCAACACCTCCCAAAGCCTCTCAAAGGGATCTGGAGGGAGAAGCTGGCAGTCTGTACATTTTCTATATTCTCTGCCATCTAAGCTGGATATGTAGATAAAAAAGTCACCATCTGTTTCTTTCAAGCAAAAGGGAGAAGAAACTGCATGGATGTAAACCTGTTGGAGTCTTCAGAGAGTTTGAAAGGGCAGGACTGAGGTGTTGGTCCACCTGCTAAAATCTGGGCTCCAGGAGGAAACTTTAAATGTCAACGATGGTA